AAAACCATAACTGCGTAGGTTTTCAACATTGATGATGATGATGTTTAATGTTGTCGATGTCAATGTTGTCATCATCATCAGCATCCTTTTGATGATGTGGTTCGTTGAAAACAAAACAAAAAAAAATGATAACAAATTTTCAATGTCTTTGTCGACGACCATAACCAAAAACAAAACAAAAGCAAGGACAGAGAAACAAGAAAAAACAAGCTTGCGATGATTCTCGCTTTGGTTCCAAATTTTCCAAACTTGAGCTAAATTCTTGTCATTTATGGATTCTTTTTAAAGAATTTTTTTCGATTGCATTTTTTGATTGTTGTTGAAAAAGCAAGAAACCTTTTTTTGTTTCTGTTTAAATTCGTTATTACGTAAACGAATGGCAATTTCGTTTTTTGGTTTTGAAATTTCCTTTTGGATAGATGTAGTGTTAATGTGAGAGAGGTTTTTACGCCAACCAACAAAATTTTGGCTTAATTCAATGGAAATATTACGGCTACTTTGATTTTTTTCTTGTTTCTTTTGGTTGTTTTTCTGGCAATTTCCAATGATGGTTGATGAATGGATGCGCGCAGATACTATTCCTATTTTTTTAATCATAATTAATTTTTTGTTTTGTTTTTGTTTTGTGTATACATCATTCGTTTGTTTCTTTAGAAAAAATGAATGTCTTGATTCGACGATTTTCCCAGTGAAATTTGTTCCCATTCGGAAACCAAAGGGTTAATTAATTGTGTTTATGGTGTATCCAGTGCTGGTGATGGAACGTTTCCAAAATTCTTAATTGAAAAATCAATTTTAAAAACTTGAATTTTCGAAAAAAATGTCGCAATCAGGCATCATCGTCATTATGAATTGAAATGGCAAACAACATCGATTGATTGAATCCACCAAAAAAAAAAATATGTATGCATAGCCTTCATATTCAAAGAATCAAATCAAATGAATGATGGCATCATCAGGCAGCTGCGTGTGTTAATTGTATGTGTTTTTTTGTTTTTGTTTGAATAACGATGTACACCTGAATTTTTTCAAAAATTTCATTTTGTTTCTTCAATCGTACCTCTGAAAACAAAAAAGTCTTTGAGTAGAATCATCATTATCAACATTTACACAATCGATCAGAATCAAAGTGAGAGAGAGAGAGAAAAAAATCAGTTTTTGTGCTTGAAAAGTGTTTGATTTTTGATTTTTTTTTTTTTTTTTGATTTTAAAATGCAACAATCAATCGATCGATCGATTGATAGGCTTGAAAACAAAACGAAATCAATCAACCAGGTAAGTTTTTTTTGATAATTTTTGTTTGCTTGTTTGCATTTTACCATTGTTTTTTCTCATGATGATTATTGAATAAAAGATTCTTTCTTTTCATATTGATTCAGCTTATTGATTTACCTGTGCACCCGTACAGGTAGATAAGCCTTATATTTTGCTTTGTTTTCTGGTTGTTGTTGTTTTGGTAACCCCAAAACAACAATTCTTTTCTAATCAAATCAATCAAATCAAACAATATTGATCTGATTTAACACACATTTTCCGGTTCATTTTGACCAAAAATCATTGTTCGATGGGCAATGATGATAACCAAACAAAAAAAGCCAGAAAAAACAATCAAAATTTGATTCAATTATGTAGGGCGTTTTGTTTTCATTCTCCAGGAAAATTCCTAATCAATAATCATTGTTTGTTGTTTTTGCTGAATGAAACATTTTTTGGTTTGTTTTTGCTTGTTTCGTTGCGTATATAAAAACCCCTGTTTATAAATCTGTAAAAAGTGACCAGTTGTCTAACCTAACCTAATCAAAATACACTGTGGGTATGTTTGTTTATTGGTTACCCAATAAAACTGTTATAATTTTGATCACTTTTTGCTTTTTTCTCACACAGGATTTTCCTTTCATCTTTAGGGGGAGTTCCACCACCATCATCGTTCAATTCTCTCTCCGTGAAAAATATATGTGTCCTGGTTGACCGAGTGCCACTCTGGGTTCACATCCATTCAAATTGAAAACAAAACAAAAAAAACAGAAAATAAAATTGAAATTTCAAAATTTCAAAATTTCAAATGTGAACACAGCTGGTGGTATCTCTGTCAAACTGGACAATAAATTCATCGTTTTTCAATTTTTCGGACAACAAAAATCCGGATAAAATTCAAGGTTTGTTCCATCAATTGATTATGCTGTATGTCTTTTCCCTTTCCTTTCCATCCAAAAAATCAATCCAAATAATCAATCCGAATCCTTTCCAATCGAAGATTTTCCAATTCGAGATTTTTGATTTTCTCATTCAAACCAACACAAAGACACTATGGACTTTGTGTTGAGAAAATAATCTACAAAATTTCATTAGTATTCAGCAAATTTCATTTTCTCCCCCCTCTCTATATGTTTGTTTGCTTGAAAATTTTCTATATTTATTGTTGTTGTTGTTGTCGTCGATGTGCGTGTGTTTCATATCTATTTTTCAATCTAATCTTTTTTTTTACTTGTTGAATTTTGTGTGAAGCAAATTATTAATCATTGAATCTGGCTTGTTGTTTGTTTCAGTTTCAGTTTAGATTAATTGATAATTATGTCCCAATGTTGATGAACCAGAAAGCCAAAACTAAACTCAAAACAGCAAAAAAAGAATAATGTTTTCAATCAAATCTTGTCATTTGTCATTTTGATATTCACTTTGTCACTTGTTTGTTTGTTGTCATTTATTCTTGTTATTGTTGTTGTTTGTTTGTTTCGTGTCACTGTATCGTGTTATTAACACCTCTCTCTCTCTCTCTCTTTTTCTGGTATCATAGATACTATATAAACCTAAATCTGAAATTTCAAAAAATTGTATTCTGTTTTGAAAAAAAAACCCCCAGTATAACAGTGAAAAAAAGGTATTTTTCAGATTTTGATTTTATCGTCGAGTTTTTAATTTTTTTGATTTTAATTTCTTTTCTTTTCCCATTTCTAATGAATTTGAATATGAGTTTGGATCAATTTTACAAAATGAAAAATTGATTAAATGACACGATATGGAACAACAACAACAACAATCACACGACAGCAACAACATTGGAAGACATTGATTGATTGATACCTTGATTGACAACAACAACAAACTAATTTGCTTAGACTGATTACGTTTCAAATTGTTCGTTTGCATTTCAAAAAAAAAAATTTAAAATTTTAAAAATTCAACATTCATTATTCATTTGACTGTTCTGTGTGTATAGGGTTGGGATGTTGATTTTTTTAAAATGATAATTTTTTTTACTAAATACAAAAATATGTAAATGCAACAATTTGGAGCGCAAATAGTCTTGAGCTATAAAAAAAATAATCCTTCCCAATTTGAAAATCCTTAATTTGACCGACCTTATTGACCATTTGACCATCGTACCTTGCATGATTTTTTTGATGAAATTATCAATTTTTTTAAAATTAATTAATGATTAACATTTTTTCCCAGCTTGATTAATAAAAATTATCGATTTTTCAATATTTTAATTAACAAAAGAATAATAATAATAAAATTTCAATAACCAAAAGATTCATTCATTCATTCATTCATTCATTGATCGATTGATCAATCCAAATTTTCATTGTTCAATTTTTTGTTGTTCTTCAATTTTTCTGGTTGTTTTTTTCCGGGAATGATTAATATTTGGCAGTGTGGTTAGCTTGGTTGTTTGGCATTTTGTTTTGTTTTTTCTTCGTTTGTTTGGTTGGTTTTTTTCTCGGTTTGTTCTTGTTGTTCTTGAATGAAATGTAACCAGAAAAAAAACGCAAACGCAAACCAAAAAAACAAAAAACGTAAAAAAATAAACAAAACGCAATCACAATAACGTATAACAACCACTATCCACACAGCCCAGATGTAATCATTCGTATAACATCAATATGTGTTGTTGTTTTGTGTGTGTGTTAATAATGTGTTCCATGTTCCAAAATGGAGTTAATTGAATTATTTTTGTGTACGCTGAACAAACAACGAAAAAAAACAAGGTAAGTGACACCATAAAAGATAAATATAAAAAAAGGTAAGTTTCATATCCTGAAAACAAAATATGATTACCATTATTTTGTCAGGTTGAATGTCCCATTGTCAAATCAAAAAAAAAACAAAACCAAAACCAAAAGAATTGAAATTTTATTCATCTCAAATTGACTAATGTAAAATAAACTAATCAAAAAAAACAACAAACATATCCGTACGGAAATTGTAATATTTTAATTATCGTTTTTTTTGGGAGAAAAAAATGGCAAATCAATCAAACATTTCATTTCATTTCATTTCAATTAAAAACCATCATCACCAACCATTAAAAAAATCCACAATTCTATATATAACCATACTGTTTGTGAAAAACTATAGGATTTTATGTGACGGAGACGGTAGTGGTGTGGATATTTTGTTTTGTTTGGTTTTCTATATCTTCCTATGTGCAACAATAACAACAAATAATGTTTATGTCAAGTAAGGTTTGACAAAATGATTACGTTTAATGATTCTGCGTTTCATTGATGATCACACACTCATAGCCCGATCTAACTTTAATCGGTTAATATTAACTAGTTCCGGTTGTCTATTACTTACTTACTTATTGCTACTGCCTTTACTAAATTATCTTTATTTTAGTTACAATGTAGCTGTAGTTTGCAAAAGAAAAATCTTTATTGGTTTTTTGTTTGCTGGGTTCAATTCCATTTAGTTAGAGAATTTGGTAGTAGAAGTCAATTTTTATAGTAAAAAAACCAACATATAGAATACAGAATATGCAATATGGACCTCATTTTCTTTCTTTCTTGGCACAATGCCTACCATACACACACAATATAATAAGAAACAACGTTGACGTCAACAGTTGATGTTTTATTTTTTGCTTTCATAACCGAACCCGAATCGCATTGTCATCAACCATTTGGCTTTGTGTGTTTTCAGCTTTTTAGCCACTCCATTTCATTCATTCATCGGTAATACCTCGTACGGTACGGATCGTTCATTCATTCATACGGTATTGATGATGATGATAATATTTGAATTGTAAAATAAAAAAACAAACAAAATTATTATTGTGATATTCTAAGAAAAACGCAATTAAATTCTTAAAAAACACAGTACAAATTCAAAGTTCATTTACTTTTTGAATTCATCAAACAAACAAACAAACCTTGTATGTTGCAATAGACGTTTGTGTTGTTTTAGTTCAAAAAACAAAACAAACAATAACAAAATTGATTCATTTTGAATTGAAAATCATCATCATTATTATCATCTTTGAAATTATTAACAATGATTACAACAATGTCAAATGGTAAACGTATGAATAATAATGGTTATAATGGTCGTCGTAGACATTCACGTGATGATAATGATCGTTTGATTGCACAAAAACAAAAAGAACGAATATTTTTTCATAATTTTTTACATAAACGTTGTAAATTATGTAGTACAAAATTAATGCCCGGTTATTGTCATAATTGTTGTTCACCGGTAAGTAGAAAATTTTTGATTTTTTCCCCCAAATATCAATAACAATAATTAATTAACATTTTGAGCCCGAATTCCGTTCGAATATTCGTACTCTCTTCACATTGGCCTTGACATTAGTTACAAATACTGTCGACGATTGTTGACCTGAATTCTTCTTTTTTTGTTGCTGTTGTTTCATCGGTGGTGACCTCTCAACATACCATCATCATATAGGGTGATGTGGCCTTGGCCCATTTGATTTGATTTCAATTCACATTTCGGGATGATGCCCGTTATATGCTCATTGTGTGTGCGAACCCTCAATTCTTGTTGTGAACGACGCATGTGTAAATCGAATGCAGAATCACTTGCCAAACAATGCTGTAGAATTTCCAGAATAAAGTAGTGGTAGTTGGTTGATTGATTGATTGATCGCAATAGTTTTTGTTTTCCTAAACATTGAATCGATTGCATTCATTTTTTGAAATAAAATATGAAATCGAATTACTCAAATAAGAGATTTGATGATGATTATGATAATTCAAGGTTAGTGACAAAATTCTTTCTTCTTTTTTTTTCTCAAATTCATTATAGTAGTATTAGTCGTAGGATAGATTACACAACTTGATAGTGAACGATGTATGAATGAATGGATGAATTTTATGGCTGCCAAAAAGAGGAGTGTTAATTCTTTTTCAAGGGTTCCTTTTTTTTCATTTATCATCATCATAATCATAATCATGTGAACGGGAATTGCATTTTTCGTTTGTTTGTTTGTTGTTTTTCTTGCTAAAAATAATTCAAGATCAACATCATCATAACGGTTTCGGGTAGTGTAAGTAATAGAAATAGAAATTCAAGGCAATATTCGGCAAATAGGATTTTAGTTTTGTTTTGTTTTTTTGAAGATCAAAACCACCACTAATAATAATAATGACATGAAATGACAAATAAATCTGTCAACAACAAATAAACACCGACAAACATTCTGTGTAAACATTCGAAAACAAGAAAATTAGAAAATCAGATCAGACAATTCAAAAAAAAATGACTTGCATAAAGATAAAGCTGATTGTAAATTCGGAAATTCGGGTTTTTCAAAATGTTGATTATTGTTGTTGTTGTTCATTTTGATTAATGATCGATACCGATTAATTATTGATTATTGATTTGTTGTCGTTAGATGTGTCAACATTTTTTCCACAACAAAAATGAATGGAAAAAATTTCAAAAAAATTCACCAACAACAACAACAGCAAATTATCAACAACAACGAGATAATCATTCGAATCTATCAACAACAACAACAACAACATCGATTGTTATAAGTGAAATGAACGATAGTTTATCGAATTCATCGGTTGTCCATCACCGTGGAGGAGTTGGAGTGGTAGGAGGAGGAGGAAGAAGAAACCCCATTTCTTCATCGTCATCATTCGTTAATCGACAGCAGCCAAATTCGAATGAACTTTCGCCATCATTACCATTGCCAATTGTTAATCAACAAAATATCATGTCGGTTGTACCATCGGCACCAAGTATTGGTCATGATTTGTTTAATAATGAAAATGAAGCTGATATTGTATTTTTGGTTGGTCCGGATAAAAATAAATTATGGCGATTTCCTGCACATAGTTCTTTCTTGAAAAATGTTAGCCAATATTTTGCAACAATTACAAATGATCCAAATAATAATAATAATAAAGAGATTAAAATTGATTGGTGTGATCCGGAAATTTTCGAAATCATTCTCAAGTAAGTTTCTTTTTTTTCAATAATAATTCGAATGATGAAATTCGAAATTACAACTTGTTTTTTGTTTTTCTTTTTATTTTGATTATTACAAAAAACAGATACGCTTATCTTGAACAATTAACATTGAATTCAGTGGAAAAAACATTGAAAATATTCGAAACATCAAATCGTTTTCAATTATTTTCATTATCAAAACATTGTCTTACATTCCTATTTGATCAGTGCAATAATGAAAATGTTATTAAACAATTATCATTTTTTAAACATTATTTTCAAATATTACCATTGGAAAAATATTCACCAACACATCATATGATTTCGAAAGAATTACTTGAACCTATTATGCAACTTCTTCGCCATTGTTTCAATGTAATCGATATGAATTGTAATAAAATTCTGGATTCAGATGAATTTCTATTGCTTTCAAATCAAGAATTGATTGTATCGATTCTTTCAAGAGATACATTAAATATTGATTCTGAATTGGATATTTATAATGCACTTTGTCGTTGGTCAAATCATCAATGTAAACAACAACGATTAGAATTGACTGCCGAAAATAAACGAAAAGTATTGGGTGATTTAATTTATCTTCCTCGTTATTTGATTATGAAACGAAATGAATTTATTGATGGCCCATATAAAGATGAAATATTGAAACGTGATGAAAAAGAAATCCTGCTGAAAATATTGAATAATGATGATAATATTGAACTACCAGATGCAATGAAACCGTACAAAATGCGAATAGCACGACATTACGACAATACAAACAATGATTGTGATAATAATAATGATAATAATGATGATCAAACTACTAATATACAGCCAAAATTGACCAAATCATTAAGCTATGAAAAAGGTTTTAATGAAAAAAAGAAACGTTCAGTACAGAAAAGATTTGTAAAAGGTTTTGTTAATGTTATGGTTTTAATTATTAGAGTTTTGGATTGATGTAAAAAGAAAACTATTGTAAACGCATTTAACCAAACACACAGAAAACAAGAAAACAACATTCGTTTTTATTTTATTTTATTTTAGAAAAAATTGTTTTTGATTTGATTCGATGACCAAATACGCATTTACTCTTCTTTGTCGAATGTTTTTTTTTATTATTATTATCAAAATACCAATATTTTTATCAGGAAATTGTTGTTTTTCTTTCCTTGTGTATTAATTATAATTATAATATTTATGAGATAAAATATATAAAATGTTGAATAATAAATATTTACAAATATTTCTAAATTTTGAATTAAAATAAAATTATAATCATTATCCGAATCTGTCATTATATCCGATCAGGTACTTTCGGGGTTAGATTTGATTTTTTTATTACAAACAGAATCTTCATAATCCTTTTCATTGACATTATCACCATCAAATGTTTCTTCTTCATTTTTCGTTTGTTCAGATGATCGTTTTGTTTTGATAATATTTTCATGATCTCTTATATCATATGTATGAATATGTAATGTACTCAGCCATTGTGTCATTGATGATTCTTTGATTTCATTATCAACAATTTCTGGATAAATTAATTGATTTTTTAAATCATAAATCGAATCATTAAATTCATCCCAAATGATTGGTACATGAATACCATCACCACCATATTTTTTATTATATTGTTCAAAATGTGCTTCTTCCAACATTAAACCAAGACCAGGTGCCATTGGTATATCGATACGATCGATTGAAAATGCTCGTTCAATAATATTTTGATCAACAAAACCTCTCATAATGGCAACAGCTAAACCAATCATTTTACGTATCTGATGTAACATAAAACTTTGTCCCTTAACACGAACAACAATAAATTCCATTTGTTTGACATCGTTTTTTTGATCACCATCGTTTTCATTATCATCATTATAATTACTGTTTTTTAGTAAAAAAGGTTGTGAACAATCAAAACTAATTATATAACGTTTTGCACTTGGATCCAATGGTTTTTTCTGCGATGTAAAATTATGAAAATTATGTGTGCCAACGTATTTATTTAGAATGGAATTAAATTTTTCAATCATTTCTTGTGAAACACGATAAGATTCATTAGCATTTTTATCGATTGTAAACGAAGGCATTAAATAGCTATATGTACGACAATCACAAAATGTTTTACTATCAAAATATTTTGTTGTTCGTTTGGCACCGAAAATTCGAATTTGTTTCGGTAATTTTTCATTTATTCTGGGTATATATGATTCAAGATCAGCATTAGAATTCATTGAAATAATTTGTTTCAAAGCTGAAACACCTTTATCAGTACGAGCAGCTCGTTGAAAATACATTAAACTTGGATTATGATATTCATTTTCATTGATAAGTTCAGTTTGAAGAAAAGCTTTAAATAATTCACTTTCAATTGTTGGAAATTCATCGATAACTTTGTTATCTCTATTGTTTGGACATTGAAAAAAAACATATTAGAATTAATTATAAACGATAAACAAAAAATTACCTTCTTTGAGCTTGCATTCCATAATATCCTCGACCAGAATATCCTAAGCAAACTACCCATTTTTTTGCTTTAACCATCGTTTCAATTGATAACTTCATTAAATCCTTGATAGATGACCAATATTGGAACCGATTGAAACAAAAAAAGTTTGCGGCACATGTGTGAACAATAATAGGCTATATTCATCTATGTATGTCATTGTTGATAAAATAGTTTGCTGTTGGCTCATTTTCGATGTTTTTGTTTGATGTGTTTATTATATGATCACTTTTGAATTATTTCTTTAATCAAGTTTTGTGATTTATTTTTCATTTTGGATAAATCGATAATGAGCCATTCGAAAAATCATTCCAACAACATTGAAATGTTGCGGATTCCCAAAGAAGGTATTTTAATCTATATTTTTTTTTTAAATAAAAAAATGCATTTTGTTTCGTTATGACAAAACGAACTGAATTCGAATTGAATTGATGGAAAAAATTTTCGTACAACTTTAACTTGATTGGTTATCAACAGATATTATTATTAATTTTTTTTTGTTTAAAATTATAAATTATATTGAATTGAATCAACAATTGAACCTTTTTTTTGTTATGGCGAATATAGATTATATTTTAATAATCAAATTTTTATTATTCTCTTTCTTTTCTCTTGTATCATTTTTTCTCTCTCTCTCTCCAACAGAAAAACTTTCTCAGACTCCCATATATATAAATATATTGAACATGAATTGATGGGAACATTGAATTGTGCTTTGAAAAAATAATAATAATGATAATAATGTAATTGAAATTGTAACACAACTTGTGCGGTAAATTGTGATCTTTTGAATTTATTTTTTTCAACGATAAAGATCTACAACATGCGTTCGTTGTTAGTAGCATAAATTTTCATGATGTGTTTGTGTGTGTGTTTGAAGATGATTTTCTTTTCCCTTTGATTATTATTTGTACTATATTTAATTTTGAAATCATATTCTTCTTTTTTTTTTTGTTTTTCATTTTTTTTCGTTCTTTAGCTAATGATGATGATGATGATATTAATGAAAATTTAGTAATTTAAAATACTTTTTTTGGTCGAATGGTAATTATAAATACGAAATATCCCAATTTTTTTGTTGTTGCTCTTGTTGTTGTTTATGATGTGGATAAAATTATGTGTTGAACTCAAGCCGAATCACACACACTCAAAAAACGTCGATGGTCCATTAAATTGTGAAAAAAATGAATGGAAAATTGATTTGATTGATTGGTCACTTCTTAAATTTGTTCATCTTTTTTTCTAAATGTTTTGATTTTCATTCGAATCTTTTTTTTTGAAAAAAAGAATGTTATTAATGAAATTTTTCTTTTTCTTTTTCTTTCTTTTCTTTTTCTCATTTTTAAACAGAGGATATTCCGTTATCAGATTTATTGACAGCAAAACAATGTCATCCATTAATTGCTGGTCCTGGTGCTCTACGAGCATCAGCAATAGCTGCTACATTGATTCGTTTAACACCGGAACAACAGGAAGCAATTGCAAAAGCTAAAAAATATGCAATGGAACAATCAATAAAATCAGTATTAGAAAAACAAACAATTGCTTATCAACAACAACAACAACGTTCATTACAAAGACATCAGGCACTTGTATTAATGTGTCGAATATATGTTGGTTCAATTAGTTTTGAACTTAAAGAAGATACTGTTCGTCAAGCATTTGGTCCATTTGGACCGATAAAAACAATAAACATGTCATGGGATCCAAGTACACAGAAACATAAAGGTTTTGCATTTATTGAATATGAAGTACCGGAAGCAGCACATTTAGCATTAGAACAAATGAATGGTTTTATGATGGGTGGAAGAAATATAAAAGTTGGACGTCCATCAAATATGCCACAAGCAGCTCAAATTATTGAACAGATTCAAACAGAAGCAAAATCATTTAGTCGAATTTATGTTGCATCAATTCATCCAGAATTGACCGAACAGGATATCAAATCAGTATTCGAAGCATTTGGTAAAATAAATTCTTGTAAATTGGCTCAATGTCAATCAGGAAAACATAAAGGATATGGTTATATAGGTATGATTTATTATTTTAGTGAACAAAATCTAATGACAATTTCTTTAGAATATGAATCTGAACAGTCAATGGTTGAAGCTATATCAGCTATGAATTATTTTGATTTGGCCGGACAACATTTAAGAGTGGGAAGAGCGATTACACCACCGAATTGTTTTGAACAAACAGTCACTCCACCAATTGTAACAGTTTCGTTGCCAACAGCAGCGGCAATAGCCGCTGCTGCAGCTACAGCCAAAATTCAAGCTATGGATGCCATTGCAAATTCGACTGGAACAACACCAACATCGAATGTTTCACAAACAGCTTTTACTTCTGGATTTTCTTCACAACCAGTAACTGCACAAATTGCACCTGGTCTAATCACAGGAGCAACCTATCCAACAACTGTACCACCAATTGTTGCAGCGATACCTCCACCTACTTTGGTGACCACACTTCCTTTATCGATAAAAAATGGACGTCCAAATGGTGCCAGTACGAATGGTACAAATAATAATGAAATATATTCGGCTGCTTCTGTAACGAATAATTTTTCTACCAATCAAAATGAAGATGGTAGTAAAAAATTAGAGCATCAAAATGAAGCGATCCAAAAAGAAGAAGAACCACAGACTTTACAACAACAAGAGAATGTTGTTATAAAAGGATCAAATGCTCGTCAAGTATTGATGCATAAATTGATGAGAAAAAACGAGGTACGTTCATAATTATGTTTTTTATTCAATTCAATCAACAATCCTTTCAATCAATCAATAGTCAAGAGTGATCGTTTTGCGAAATATGGTCGCTCCAGAAGATATCGATGATCAATTGGAATCCGAAGTGACCGATGAATGTGGCAAATATGGCATTGTCAAAAAAGTAATCATCTATCAGGAAAGACAATCTGAAGATGATGAAGCAGATATCATTGTTAAAATCTTTGTTGAATTTACCAGTCTATTAGGTAAGTGCAATTTTAATTATGAGTCGTTAATAAATCGATAATTTATCATTGAAACAGAGGCAGTCAAAGCACGTGATGCATTAAATGGTCGATATTTTGCCGGTCGATTAGTTAAAGCTGAACTTTATGATCAAATTCTTTATGAAGATAATGATCTATCTGGTTAATAATATGGTTGGTTTTCTCTCCGGCAAACTTGTCATACAATTTTATTTATCACGACGACGAAAAAAAAATGATCACACAAACCACCAATCTAATTGAATTTTTCATGCACACTACTTTGTTTGTTTTGATGATGAGATTGTTGCTGTAATAATGATAATAAAGAAAAATTGTTAATTAAACAAATTGTTTGAATAAAATGTATTAATCTACTTACTTTATTGTCTACCTTTTTTATCGATTTCTGTCAGGGATTAGCCGAAAATTGTAAAACCCATGCTGCCATCTAGATTGTGATGAAAATTTTCAAACTTGAGCAAATGTTGATGAAAATTCTTTTGTTTCAGACCAATAGGTAGCAGTAGTTATTTCCGTAAAAATGAAACGAAATGTCAAAAAACAATTTGAAATATTGCCCGAAGATTTTTTTTCTCGTTGATTTCATCCGTTGACCAAATGAAATCGAAAACTTCAAGTGTTTATTGATAAATGATGATGATGATAATGTTGAAACATGTCGAATTGATAATTATTATTCATCATCACAAGTGAAATAAATGGAAAACAGAAAGTGAATGTTTTGATGATGATTAAATTAATGATCAAACTTACCAACAACAAAAAAAAAATAGACATCCATGATACACAAGACAGCCAGACATTATCTATTTTTTCGGTAATAATTCATCTGGTCTAATTTTGTTTCGATCAAATGAAATGAATTACATTCATTTGCGGCCATTTTCTTCATTTCATTTTGTCTGACATCAATCATAACGTTTTTTTAAAAATTTTTCAATCAACGAACAAACCAACCAAACAAACATCCAACCAATATTACCGTTATTAGGGAAAATATATAAAATTGGAATTTTATTTCATTTCAATGAAAAAAAAAATTTGAAGGGAATAAAGGTTTGATTTGACTAGAGATTTTTTTTGGGAAGGGGGTATAAAGAGATCAAAGTGGTAAAAAAAACAACAAAAGTTTTATAAACGAAACAACAACAATATTTGGTTGAAAGTATAAATGGAGAGTGTAAAAACAAAATAAAAATTTACAACAGAGGTGATGATGGCGATCTGAAAATTTCTCCCCATTGACAGATCGAAAAAAAAATGAAAAATTGAAAAATGAAATGAAAGAAATGTGTGTGTGTATGAGTGAGAGATGGGCAAAATAAATGTTTGGTTGTTTTTCAATTACAATGATTGAATTTTTTTTTTCGTTTTGTTTTTTCATTTTGATCAATTTCAATTTCATTCAATCAATGATGAAGATGTTGTCGGTGTTTGTTGATGATAATTTTATTCGTTTGATTTTTTTTCGATTAAATTTTTCAAGGTGCCTTTTAAAAAAAAACAAAGAAGAAGAAGTAAACATTAGTAAGGTTGATGCTTCATCTTCATCTTCATCGTTTTTCAAAATCAAAATTCATTCATATGTGATGTGTGTTTGCGTTTGTTTGTTTGTTTTTCGGTGACAATGAGATGAGCTGTAAAAACCAGAAAAAAAAGATTGAAATCAAGCGAAAAGATTATAAGGTTTTTTTTCCTTCTTTACATTGCTTTTTTTCGTTTTTCGTTTGTTTGTTTTGAAAACAAAATGGATTTTTTCGTTTGTAAAAAAAACTGTGAAAATGGAAAAAAAGATGATTGTTTTTTGATCATCTTCATCATCGATGATGATGAACGAGTTTGAACTTAGAAAAAAACATTGATTGAATTTGAGTATGGTTGACTTTTCTTGCTGTTTTGATTTTCTTTAAATCAGATTCTCAAGATGAAAAATGTTCAAGCAAACGAAAAATCAATTATTTTAGCCAGAATCATCATTCGCGTTAAGTTGAAAATCGATTGAACAAACACAAACAAAAAAGACAAGATAAATGCCATCTGGTGAACAATCGGATATCATAAATTAACTTCCCTTTCGTTGTTGATCAGAAGATTTTTTTGAAGATAAATTTTCAGGATAAATTGCAAAAGATGATGTCAAGTTTTTTGTTTTGTTTTTTGTTTTGCTGGAGCCATTGGATGATAAATGACAGTTTTTTTCCAAACAAAAAAACTAATATCATTATTAGTTTCTGTAGACAAAATTTATCAGATTATATCTGTTGGAATCATTGATCCAAAATATGAAACAAACAAAAAACAAAAAACAAAAAACAAATGAAAATGTCGTGAAAATTTATGATTAATCATTGATGTTGTTGTTGTTGTTGTATGATTTGATGATGATCAATGTTGATAAACACACAATGGCCTTTTACGTGTGACGTAGATTGGCTGTAGTTTGTTAATCTTTGCCATCGTCATCATCATTGCCATATTTTATCATCGAAAAACATGGATTTTTTTTTTGGCTGATCAAATTCTTCAAATGATAATTTATTGCTGTTTTTGTTTCCTATTGACCAATCTTGATGATGTTAAGCTTTGGGATTTTTTTTCAATGAACTTTTTTTTTATTCCGGACAATTTTTCTTCGTTTTCCATTGGTTTGATTTGGCCTACAATTTTGATTTTTGAATGGTACAATTTCCGATTTTCGTTTTTCGTTTCAAAATATATACGAATATATCAATATTCTTGTGATTCATGTTTAACCATTTCTTCGGGCATATCTTCAAAAAATGTTGGCATATGAATTTGTCGTATAAGTGAACTGACTGAAGTTTCCTCTCGAAATCGACATCTGCAGATGATGTTTTTGAATGCACGACGAAAATCTCTACTAAATAGGCCGTATATGCCTATACCGACCATCCATACATCCATCCAACAATCAGCAACAGAATATTGATGGAAAGGGAAAAGACAGAAAGAAAGAAAGAAGAAAAAAATGGAATGAAAAAAAAAGTTTTATATTTTCAGTTTCCTATTTAGTGTGTGTTTTGGATTTGAATATTGATTTGATTTGCCTTTCATCCACTTTGTCATAATTCTCTCTCATTTTCTGATTCTCTATTTGATTCTTTCATTGATTCTGTATGTTTGTTTGTTTGTCTGTTTGTCTGTCAAAACTTAATATCAATAATGTTTTTAAATGAGCAATATTTTCATTTATTTACGAAAAAAAACAGGAAAAAAGATTGTACATTATTATTATCATCGTCATCAATAAAGTTTTTTGTTGCTTGAATTGGTGGGATGGGAAATCTTTCGGAACGAATAAGAACCAGAAAGAAGTAGGAAGAAAACATTTGATCGACACTAAAACACCAATTCAGAAAAGAATAGAAGAATGGAAGAAGAAAAGAATTCATCCATTGATGATGAGGATAATTTATATTTTAAAATGACATTTATCTAATAAATGTTTATAAACAAACAAACAACTACAAACAAACAAAATCGTTTCTGGAACAAATTTAACAATATAAAGTTTTTTATTTTTATTACCAAAATCAAAATAATATCTTTTTATTTACTTTTGTTTTGTTTTTTGGAGTGAAAATTGGATAAAAATAAAACCAATCAAATGAAACAAATCAAATGAAACAAATAGAAACAAACTGAAACAAACAGTAGAAAAATCTCATGTTTCACATTGGAAAATATCTATGTTTTTTGAAAAAAAAGAAACATTGTTTGCATTTGGATTGCCTTTTTCTTCTTCTTTATTTGATTCTGAATTCAACCAAAAAGAAAATAATGATTCTTTGTTTGGTTGTTTGTGTTTTCTAATATTTCAAAAAATCACAGAATTTTCTTTTACTTTCATTTATGGCTGTGATGGCAACTTGACTTTTGTATAATTATTTCTTGTTTTGTTTGGAATGAAAGAATCATGTTTGTTTAGCTTCTAGAATTATCATTCTGGTGGGATATTCCTGGCAAACGTTTATACAGAATTTTCTTCTGACTAATTCTTCTTTACCGAAAATTCTTATTAATTATAACCAGAGAAAAAGAGTTTGGAGAAAAAAAAACAGTTGGCATTTTCATTTCATTTCGTTTCATATTTTTTTTCTTGTAAATTCAATTTGCAAATAGACATAGAGTAAGCGAAAAGCGTCAAAATAAATAAAACGAAAAACCGAAAATGCAATGAAAAATTTATAAAGATCAGATCTTTTGATGATGATGATGATGGCTGGTTGGCTTTTAAATCCAAAACAGCAGTTATTTATTTCAATTTCAGCAGAGAAAGAAAGATTCACTACTTTCGCCTTTTTATAATTTGATATCAAAAATACATTTTTTTTTGCTTTTCGCAAACATTTTTCATATTTTCATATTTTTTTTCAATCAAAGAGGACTTGAGGATTACTTGGCGGATTTACTGTTGCTGTTGATTTATTCAATGCTATGAATGTTTCATTCAATGGAATGGAAATGAAAATTTTTCTTGGAAAAAAAAAATCTTTGGACCTGGACATGTGTCATATTTTTAGTGTTGTTTGTTTGTTTGTTTGACTATCAACAACAACAACAACAACAACAACAGAAAATTGGGAAAAATTTCCATATTTTCTGAACCAGCCAATGTTGACAATTTGAATACTGCAGTGGAAACATTCAAAAAAAATTTCGACAAAAAAATAGATACAGAAAAGAAGAAACCTTTTAAACTACCGCACAATTTGACTATCAAGCGATTAATTAACGATCGATCGATTCAACGGGAAAAAACGAATCAATCGAATTCAGAAAATAAAAGTAACAAGATAAAATTGTTTGACAACAACAACATCATCATTTACGACAATGACATGATAATAATAATATTTTCCTTAAGCATAAAAATAGCTTTTTAGCATTTTGCATTTATCATTTGACGAATTGAAACTTGTGTGTGTGTGTGTGTGTGTGTGTGTGTGAAACACCAAATACCAAAAAAGCAAAAAAAAGTGATAACGGTGGATTATTTAACACAAGCAAATTAAAAGTTTTTTTCTTCTTGCTTCTTTTTCCATAGAA